ACGCGCCGTCCGAAAAGGGTTACCCAAATGGCATGACCTCTGCGCGTCATGCGTACAGCCATTTCCGGTCAGTTGCACGACGTTTGGCATATAGCTTTACTCTACTTTAAATGCATCTGAAAGCATGGTGGAGCACTGGTTTCCTCTGCTACTCGACCGTGTGGTTGACCTTGGCAGCTTGCTAAACATGCGGTCAAATAAAGGTGGTATCTATCTGCTTGATGCAGAGAAATAAAGCAGACTTTTGCTTCTTAGGGATAGTAACGGATTATCGTCCAATATTTTTAGTCTCCGAGTGAACTTATCCGCGCTAAGCCAGTAATCAGTCATCGTCTTGTTAATACTCGTGTGCGTGTTGCGGATGCTCCGTGGCTCCGGGTGATCTGCGCACTAAATGGATGCCATTTTATCGGGACTGATATGCCCGAAATAACTTGAGCTTCTAATGAATGTACACACTTCGAAGCTACCCCTGTCGAGTTGAAACCTCTATTGTAAATAGTGGTATTCACTGGACGCCACGCTGCAGCTCTCTGAACGCTGCGCATTCTCAAAGTGAACTCCCGCTTATGGCCTGAGAAGGACACTCTTTTTATGTAGAGTAATGCTGCACGCACGACGTCGTGCAGCTCTACCGTAAGTTGCTATACGCGCGTCAACGTTCATTGATTGGACGACCCAAAACCTGGTCATAGTGGCAGAGCTTTGTTCTGCCAATAAAAAAAAAACAAAGAAGAGCCCTCAAACAATTATTTCGGCCCATCATCACCTTAACAGCCTCGCAATTCACGATCGTGCTCGTGAATGTGAGACCAGACTTGCACATTATGCATCCAGCCTCGCACATTCACAAGCATGCTCGTAAATGTGCGAGGCTGGTTACCGTAAAATAAAGAGTATGCCCCCCCCCCTCCCCCCCTCGTGTAAGCGCCCCCTCCCATTTTGTGAAAATTGAATATTTTATGGTCGCCATCTTGAATGCTGTTCCCGAACAAAGTAAGGGCCCCCTCCCTATTTTGATTGGATAATCTCTAAATTTGGAGGGAGTGCTTGCTTGGTATTATACGGTAGACAATGAAGGGCGGGAGGAATTGTTTCAGGGCTCTGCAGTGATTTTTACTCCCAGAGCGACGCTCTGTTGCTATAGCCGGGATTCGGGGCATCCAATCACAGGACATTAACGCGTGTCCTGCGTGTTACTCTTTTATGTATAGAATGCACGTGGCAGAAGCGTTGTTGAGGCTTGCCTTCAGCAGGCGTTCGGCAGCAAGGAGCACATTTATGGCCTCCAGTGCACCTCTTGTGTTCACCGCCCCGGACAGAACGCCAGGGTTATCTTCTCCAAACAGTTGCTCCTAATGCTAACGCATTTTAATGCTTTAGCATTAGGAGTGTCACAGTGGAAAAACGTGTGTGTTCTTGTGTCCTTGTGTTCCGGCAGGAAGGAGAGAGGGAAATGCTAACGCATTTCTTTCGCATTTACCTCTAAATCGCCGCTCAATGTTTTTAGAACACTGAGCAATGTGGTTATAGCCTTCTATTTTAACCAGTCTTAATATCACTAGGCTGCAAATGCAGGAGCCTTTGTTCTGCAGGCGCACATAAATATACTTTTGACCGGGCTATGCTTATCAGTTAGAATTAGTATTATAAACAAAGACATGAAATTTCAGCATTCTAATAATAACCACAATATTCTGCTTAAGCACTTCAGGCAGACTTTTTTGCAACATTGCGTTGACGGGTACTGTGAATTCTTTTTTTAACTGAAGTATCTTCTACAATTTTATAGGCAGGCGAGCTGGTTAATATGGAGACATCCTACAACCCAAGACAGAGGCGACAAAGAAGGACAAACATACACGTCTCAATTGAGACATGCGTTTGTCTTTCTTTGTCGTCTCCGTCTCGGGTTGTAGAAATGTCTTATCGTTGTGGGCTGACATGTGTCCAGTTATTAATGAGAACTGACGCCAGTGGGCTGAAACGTTTTTTTGTGTACAGTCTCAATCCGTCTTGATGGAAGGGTCATACTTTAAGCTCGTAGTATGCCTACGGACTATCCAAATTAAGGACGTTTGTCTCGGCTTCAAAGTATACTACAGATACGATTTAGAACTCGTCCGGATTGGATTACTAACCGGCACCGACACTGAAGTTGAAAAAGGAGCCAGGAACTCCTTAGCTTCTGTTATACATCTTCCTCCAAATATTCCAACCCATTATTTAAGTCCTCTTTCTTTCAGGCAACTGGTGGGAATGAACCCAGAGGAGGGGTCCCGACAGACATCAAGAAAAGTTGCTCTTGTGCATCCCAAGGTGCAAGGAGCCCTTCAAGAGCTCTCGAAGTTCAGGAAGAAGTGGGAAGAAAATTCGGCGCTTGTCTAAATTAATCTTCATTTTCTATTGCTAATAGTTCTATTTGTTTTCATAGGCCAAGATGGCCTATGAAACAAATTTTTGTTTCATAGGCCAGCATAATATTGTTTTTACATTGGCTCAGCTGCCCCAAAATATTTGTGGCACGATGTGTTTTCTAGTCATTTAAAGGAAAAATAAATGTTAATACTTTTGAAGCAGCACACTGTTCGCTCTTCTTCACAATGGGTTCGTTGCTATGGTTTGGAACCAACAGCATCAAGCGTGAACTTAGTTTCATGAGGATGTTTACAAATGTTTACCTGTCTTTATCCCCGTCCCTGAATGTACAATGCTCCCTAAAATTGAAGTAGCATGCGAAAACCTTCTCATAGCATTCCTGGCTGTTGAGTATATATATATGTCACAGATTCATAGTTCTGTTTTCAGGATAGTGCTCGCATTAGATACAACAGTTCAAAGTTTCCATACAAGTTTGGGGAACATTTGCGCATTGCAGGTAATTATATGTTGCAAAGACTTGCATCAAGTTGCGCCTTCAAACCGTCAGGACATCCCTGTTTTGCATGTCACCTATTAACCTTTTAAAGGAGAAGCTTGGCATGTGATATACAAAGCCCGGATGTACTCGTGATTAGCGGTAGTATGGTGCCTGGATCGCGTCTCCGACTGGTGTGTTTAGCGTCCTATCCCGCCCATACATCAAAAGTGGTCCCAATGTGGCAACAAATGACGTCAAAAAAGCCGGAGTGTCATGCTGTTGCCTGTCGCGATGCTGGCGGTTGGCCGTAGTAATGCTTGCGAAAAGCACGAGCGAACGCGAGTGTCGCTGTCGTCACGGCGTCCCAGACGTCCCAACTTCCGGCTGCTCTAGCTTCCGTGAACTGTCACAGTGGAGAGCGACCTGCAGCAGAACAGGCATCTGCCATATCCACCACAGCTGCTGAGACGCCACCAGGGTCGCGACCGGCGACAGCATGACACTTGTATGACGTCATCAGTCGGAAATCGAGGGACCACTTTTTTGGCCGCGGTAAACACACCAGTCGGAGACGCGTTCCAGGCACCATAGCGGTAGTAATGTAAAATGGGGCGAGTACCATCACAAATGAGACTGAACGTTTTCCGTACGTACAAGAAATGTGACATTTGCTGTTTTGGACGCATTGGAACATGTGATGTACCTCGTAAAAATGGTATGTGTCCTGGCATGGCTTGCAACAGAACATGTACTGCTGTGTGCCATGATGGTACATTTCCTGTAGCATACAGTGCTTGTTCCGTAATGATGATGTATGGAACTTGTTGTGGCTGCCCACACAGCAACAACATGTCCCATACTAAAGAAGTATGGAACATGTTCTGTAGTCCGGTAATACAGTAAATGCTGTGGCAACAAGGTTAGCATGTATGTGTCCCATATTTTGACAGGAGTTTTTCTAACAGTGTGGGCAGAATCCAATCGAGATACGTCGGCGGACGTATCTCGTCTGGCAGTTCCTCCAGCTTCAATTTCCGAAGGCGAGCGAGAGGAACGCGCTGGAATGCGTCAGCAGTACTTCGTTTCAGCTTCGGTCCGAGCGCGGCCGATGTTATGAGCCGAAGGGCCAATCAAACAGCGAAAGAGGCACAACGTCATGGCGTGTTCTCTGCAGTTGATAGGATGAGCCGGTGTTCGCCATCTCTCTGTGCGCGCCCCTCCGCCGGCTAGTCCTATCAAGCGCAGAGAGCACGCCATGACGCTGCGCTTTTTGCGCTCTTTGATCGGCCCTTCGGATCAATACATCGACCGCGCTCGGACCGAAGCTGAAACGAAGTATAGTGCTCTTGGGAGAATAGGATTACTGGACGGCAGAGTCAAAAGAAAAAAGTTTCACATGACAACTCTTTACGAAAACAAGCTCCCATTGCCCGGCTTGAGTTCCTGAAACAGAATATAACTTCATGATAATAATAATAATAAAAATAATCATATCACCATTCACTTTAACTGTGAAACTTCAGCGTTGAATGATCAGCGAAACCGGGGAGTCGTCTGTGTCTCAGTCACATCTAAAGAAGAAGCTATACGTCATGTTTTAACACTTCCGTCGTGGGCGACAGCACAGCGGCTTTTCAGTACGGTTCAAGTCGAGGCGTATGAGCTATGTTACGGTGTAAATAGGAAGATCGGAGTTCTGGTACATATATTGCAAATAAAATAAGTGCAAAATACAGCCTCGAGGTAATAAAAAGGGATGCCAAAGTAATTTCATAACTTTCGGAAAGTAAGGGTATTATAATATGTCATTACTCTTGGTCAACTGTAATTTGTAATGTATTTTAATTATATTTTCGCTGTTTTTAGAAAAGTAATATGTTACGTAATTTCATTACATATTGAAAGTAATTTTGATCATTACTGCATTTTGCATGTTCTGACCTGAAAACACCTCTTGTGCTCGACAATGGTCCGGTAACATTCCATGATCCGACATCCATCGTTGTGGGTAATTGATAAAGTCTATATCTCAAGTATTTCTCGCTCCTTACCTCCTCAGATTACTTTTATCTCGCTTGTGAACCGAGTGTTGGAGTAATCTTATCGCGGTTGTGTTCAGCGGGGTTGCCCCCTCTCTAGTATAAATAAAGTTAGCGTCGACTGTGGCCCCAACAGTCTTGTTCAGCGGGACACTGGGGTAAGCTGACATTGATTAGAAATTACGACTGAGACTGTACCTGCTGTCCGTAGGGCAAACGATGTGCATGTAATATGGCTCTGCTAGGAGCTGCACTGCGGTGCCACTGTCTTGTCGACCGCCTTCCATAACGTTGTTTAAACACACGCACTGCTGAGAGACGCGGTTATCGATTTATTCACTGGGACCAGAACAACTGGAGTTTCAATTGTTTGAGGTTTCATCCGTTCTGGAGAATAAGTAAAGTACATTTATTGGGAAATCGCAAGCTCTCTGTATAGAAAAGGTATCTTGGCAAGTTACCCGAGTCTAAAGTTATGAAGCTATGTAGTATTTCACATTGTGTTAAAGGACAAACTCATCAAAGACCCTTCGTTCCGACCTGATGCTGAACGCGCCCTTGCAGGTACAAGAACCCTCGCACACATCGAAGAATTTCAAACAACGACCATGTGGAAGGTTCTCCCAGTTTTCTACGCTCTTTGCAGCGCTGCCATTGCTCAAAACATTAATTCCTGCAAGAATGGTAAGAATACCTTCTCAAAAAGTTCAAAAAGACATTGTTTTACTGCAAGCACTAGGTAATATATTTGGAAGAAAGATCAGTGGGGTAGTGTTATAGGCTGAAAAAAACTAATGGCTGTTCTTCAGGCAGTGGTAGTCAGTCAATGCCTGGCGTTAATTTTATCTTACGTTCAACCACAGTGGAAGTTAAGAGCACTTGGTCAAATTCCTGGTAACCCAGGACCCGCGTACAAGCTCGTATAGTAAAGCAGCTTAGACGCTTAAAGACCGACGACCAGTTCGCGCTTTCTACTTTCCCCCTGCTTTCTCCTCTCCCACGCTCTATCCTGTCCACCGTTGCCTGTTTTCTCCTCCCCCACGGTGAGGAGGATCTTGTGCCTTGCAGAATCTCGACTCTGGTCGTCGGTCTTTAAGAACTTACTCTTGTAACATTTCAATTTCAGTAGCACGTATGAAGAAAAATAGCGTAAACCATCACCTGTGACGTATGATCAAAAATCTTTTGCCAGGTGGCTTCGAAGGACCAATATACCGGGTGCTCCATTTTAATTCAAACAGATTTATTACAAAACATCCGTAAAAGATGTACTAACACAGTTTTATGCAGATGAGTAATAGGGCCAGTGGGACATTAGAGGGGTGGCTAATCTTTGAAGTAAGTTGGTTAACTAATTAAAACTAGTTAACTAACTTTTTAATTAGTAAATTTAATCATATGGTTCCAATGAGTAACTTCCTGAGCGTCATGGAAAACCCCTACATCAACTATTTTTAGAAGGACTTGACGCTAGTGGGAAACTCGGGGGTGCACCAAAGTTACCACTCGTGTAGCAGGCGCAGAGCTAGCAGATATGGAACGCGGATTATAAGAGTGCTCAGTTTCTGCTAGAACATCATGTTTCTCAAAATAAGGCGCTTATGCATACCTGCGATGTCAAAACAGTAAAACGCGCTAATTCATTAGTAAAAATGTGACGCAAAAGTAGCGTGCTTTACTTTATATCGGTAACGGTAAGAGTAACCCGTTCCCATCATTAGGGAGTTTTAGCAGGTCGTTTCCACACGAACGGTTCGCCTTCGAACGCATCCCCGACGCCACTGCGCATGCGCGCGCGAGTCGTTCGGGGAGTTGGGAGGCTCTTCTCGTTCGTTTCTCCCATTCCGGCCGCTGGAGTCGTCACCGCAACGCAGCCAGCACCGTTCACGACTCGGGTAAAAAAAAAAGATGGCGGTCGGTTCGGCGACCGCCTTCGCCGACCCAGCCAACGTTACTAAAACACTCGGTTGGGAAACTCGCCGTCGAAACCTGGGCCGCTGGCGTCCACCGCCACCGAGCTAAATGCGACAACAGCGCCACTCTTTATCGTTTCTCTGTACTGTGGTCCCCTTGAGCTTTTTGAAAGCCTGTTTTTGCGTAAAAACAAACGGAAAACACTCTTTTTGTATGAAATTTATTGGAGTTTAGTACCAAATGATGGGCGCGTGATGTTTTTATCATCTTTAGTTCGCAAGGTTTTGCGGAACAATTAATATTGTTTTCATACAACCATGCCTCAGCGGGCCTTTCAGGTAGCACGTCCTGACCTAGGTTCATTTTAACGTCAGTAGTTCAACGCGGCGCGTCCGCCTGGGAGACGGGGGTGGCACCCCTGTAACCTCTACCGCTGTATCTGTTAGCCGAAATAGAAGTCACGTGCAGTTCTTCGAGAGGCCGCTGCGGGAGAAATGGTGGCGTTGTGTTCGTCATTAGCTCGGTGCTCGGAGACAGATTGGGGCCACTTTTTCAAAGCTGTCTCTATGGGAGTTTCCCAACTGAGTGTTATAGTAACGTTGGACCCAGCCGAGCGTTAGGCTTAGGACAGCGGGAGGCGATTTGCCGTCCTGTTTAAGTCTGCTTCATTTGAAAGGTTGAACCAAATCATTTCGTGGACTGCTCACAATGGTAAGCGATCGTGAATGCTGTAAACTGCGCATGCTAGTAAATTTTTGCGATCTGCGGGCAAACTAGCTGCCGTGGCGACCACGAGCAGACAAAATGATTTGGTTCGACGGCACACAACGTGAACGATCGTTCAATTTGAAGATGACGGAGACACACCACATACCTTTACGGTCGTTCAGACACTTTTTACTCTATCTAGCTTCGCGGTTCTTGAAATTCCGACCGGCAAATGTTACGTCGGCGGTCTTGTTTACATCAGTCGTACGCCGGAAACACGAACCGCCACCACGGTGTCCGCCACCGCCGCCACTGATTTACACGTTGCAGAATGTTTCACATGTTTACTAGAAGATGGCGCCACCATTAAGCACGATCATCATCATCGTTTGCACGGTCGCGCCACTTTCACGATTCGCTAAAGTATGTCAAATTTGACGTACGGCATATCGTTCTGTATCGGATGTGCAAGAATGGTTTCCTAGAACTCTCTATTGTGAGTTAAGTTTGGACAGTAAAGCGTAACGTATTTCGTCACTTTTTTTAGCAACGCCTACAACACTGGTTATGGGTGCTGATAATTACCGAATTCATAATATTACTGGTTTCCCGGGACGGGCTTTATTAACCAACGGTGCTACGTTTTATAAGAACCCCTCAGTTGCAACAAACTGACAGGAAATAGATCGACGATTTCTTGGTCGTACTGACTGCGTCGCGCTCCGTACCTGGTAGACGTTGGGTACTTACAGTAATCTTCATTTCAACATTTATGAGAGATAGTTCACTTATATGGTATATCAAAGTAATGGAGCGCTCAATAGGGGTTGGTATTTCGAAGAGAACAAAAAAGAGTAGGTGATTGCTGTGGCACTTGAAGTCATTGGTTGGGGTTTCCTGCGCCTTTTTCTTTACAGATCTCTGCATTACTATGACATCGCTTTCATTTCAACCCCTTTTTTAATGCGATAATAATGCGATAACATTATTAAGCTACTCATCACAGATTTCTGTCTATCGGGTACCTGGCCTCGAATGCTTCCCTCGCTAAATTTGGCGGTAAATGTTTCCGCTAAATTTTGCGTAAAAGTTATCGTCACGTGACGTACGCACCAATTCTACTTCCCCGCTTAATTTATTGGAAACATTGACGCCACGGGACTTACAAACCAATTCAGTTTCCCCGCTAAATTTAGCGGAAAAATTTACGTCACATGACCATTGCACCAATTCAGTTTCCCCGCTAAATTTGACGGAAAAATTGACCTCACGTGACCTAGGCACCAATTCAGTTTCCCCGCTAAATTTAGCGAAAAAATAAATGTGCTCCAGTTCCTGGTCGTCGAGACCGAACACCTAGGTTCGTGTGTGAAACAATAAATGCTATCGCAGTCATCGATAATCACCCCTGTAGTTTCTACAAATTTTTCTTTGTGTTTTCTTTTTTTTTTCTTAATTTATGTATAAAGATCATGTACACAGTTGCACTTCACCCGGAATTAATCGTTTTTTTTTTTCTGGACTCGGTGTTTGAGACTCAGAAGGTGCGGGGAGCCTCGTTTTCACGTGTTCCCTCCATGCTGGCTTAAAGCCGCGGGCTCGCACTCTTCATACACGATACGAGAGACACGGAGTTCTCCGCTGACGATGACTTAACTGAGCTGCGACACGCCTCAAGACTGTTCAGAGAATGTTTTCTTCCTACGTGCTTGCAACATCTATGCCTGCAGACAGTACTGTCATACAAGTTAGAGACAGACACGCCTCAGTCTCTGTAGACTGTCTTGTGTCCTTTTAGCTCTGTGGCGTGGCTTTAGTAATGAGACTTTCTCGGCTGAGATTTTGACCCGTTTCCTTCATCGATCTTACCTCTTTTTTTTTTCTTTTTTCTAAAGTTACCACTTCCGGGGTTCAGGAGAAGCTCTTCAACACTTTCACCAACACGCTCTTCGACAAGGTCCTCTCGTCTGTCGCCAAGTCCGGGGCCATCGACAGGGTGTCCTTGCCGAACATCGTCCACACGTTCGAGTCCAAGGTCATTGAGAAGATCTCGGCGCAAGTTGGCCTCTACCGCGGCATCCTGGAGGGCTTGCCCAGCCTGACCAGAACGGGCAACTGCCGCTTCGAGGTCGGGGAATGCGGCATCGACATCAAGACGGACCTAGGCGCTGGTCCCCTCAAGTCCAGCTTCGTGGGACTCGTCCGCGTCATGGGCTTCGGCCAGGCGGTTACGGTGGACGCCAGCGTCCGAGAGCTTCGGATACTCCTCGGCCTTGCTCAGTAGGTCGACAGTTTCCACAACTCGATAGTTGGGTGTGAGGGAAGCTCATTTCTGGCACCCTTCATACAACGCTAAGAAATTTGGACTGTATACTTTCCGGCAAAGCATTTGGAAGAGCTATATAGTCGCAGCGATCAACGGGGGACATCAGCGAAGGATAAGACTGAAAGTGTGACTAGACTATAAAGCACGGTCTGCACTGCGACACGGAACATGATGCTTCACTTGAATCAGTGCCGAGGGGCAGATTGTCTAAATAGGTCCAATCATTTTTCTTCAGCCTATAGTCATTCGAAAGCGAAATCGAAAGGCTGCCACGCCTCTTGAACGAGTGCATTCGTCTCTAGAGGAACGAAAAGGTCGACGTAGCTACCGACCGCTAAATGGGTGTTATCTACCGGGAAAAAAAATTAATTACCAAAATCTGTATTGCGCTCCCCTCATAGGTATAATAACACATTACATTAAATATTAAATAAAGTTCCCCGAAACGAAAATTTCACACAAATGGCTTTAGCCTCTTTTACATTCTAACGTACACTTTTGAAACACAGGTTAATTTCAGAGTATTCTGTGTGACGATGGCATTCTCCAAGCAGTGACATCCAGTCTTTGCAAGCTAACCTGAAAATTCTACCGAAAGTTCGTCAGCTACAAAATAACACGTGTCGTTGCGCCCCGCTCGGAAAACGGAAAAAAATGAGCTAAAACTGAAAATCTCGAAGTTTTCGCGACGCACCGAGAAGTAGCCTCCTGTATACTGATAATGCCTGCCAAATCGCCAGTTGCCCATACAGAAATGGTCTATAATCGTCTACGGAAAATTCTATGGCAGGCTATCACCCGCTATGGCCTTCTATGGTCAGCCATAGAAATACATAAATACAGCTAAAGCCAGCTTGGCTGTTTACAGCTAAAGCCAGTAAATGGCGTCCAGTCTTTCACACACACGGTTTCGTCTTCTCCTTTTTTGCTTTTTGCGTGCCTTCGTTTTTCACGAAACCCTTTGCGGTGTGAGCCTTCGTCTAGCACCACACACTTTGCGGTGCGAGCGTTTGTGTTCTACAACAATAGGGAGTTCTCGCATACCGCGCTGCCCCCTCCGCTAAGCGTTCCGCAACGAAGAAGTTGCTACTGCGCCTGCGCACCGATAGCCTTGACTGTGGAGTTCCCGCTATCGTAGCGGGTTGCGGAGGGCCTTGCGGGACGGCGAAAACGATCTACGAAAACTCCCTATTATCTTGCTGCTCACCCGCTATGAAGTATGCGTTCCGAAGTATTGGAATTATGTAGCAGTGCGCGGCAAACAATCATCCTCTTCATTGTATGAGGAGGCGGCGCCCCTGGCGGTGATCATATGAAGCAGACGCAACCGCGTTAAAGCATCGGAAAGCCAGAAATTGAGAAGGCATTGTGAGAGTATACACCTTTTCCACAAGGGCACAGTCATCTTGAATGTCGTCACTTCTGGTATGCGGTAAAACATCGTTTTGATCTGTCCACGCCGCTGGAAGGTGTTTACGAAAAATGTGTGATTGTCACACATTCCTGTTTTGCCCCACCTATATTTTCTCGGGTTTTCCAGGTTGAAATGTTTTATTATATTTTCGTCCCGCATATCAGATACGGAACCCACGTGATTGAGAACGACAGAAAACAGAAAACATGCGTACGAACGGGCTGGTGTCGCTGCGCTTACGGAGGAATAATTGACAAGGTAGTAGGGAACTAACTTACCGTGGTTACTGAATACACACGAGACAACATAAATACTGCTTGAAAACAAAATAAAATAGTTATGCGTTGGAGCGAACCGAGAGCCAAGAACCCAAGTATAGACGCTTTACACACGCGCCAGATTACAGCCGCCATTGCTGACCTTCTCTTGTCTTACAGAGATACTGAGCCACTAAGACGGGTGTTGACGAGCCTCCAGAAAGGCCAATGCTGGGAAGAAGGACACAATAAAATTTAAGATGCCAATAACGTGGCTTGCTATGGTAATGACGAATTGAAGAAAATGGAATAAGAGGAAACAAAAACTGAACGTCAGTTATGGCGGCGCCCATGCACAGCTGCTGCAAAGCGTCTATAGCGCCCCGGCGCCGGTTGGGCTCGAGGATGGCGAACTGGGGCGTGGCCACGGCGTTCCCGTGACGTGCCAGTGACGTAGGTAACGAACTGTTAAGCAGACCACGCCTGTTGGCCAAACTCTTCTTCTATTTATGGTTCTCATACCAGCTAATGCATGGGACTCAATGCGAGGAACGCGAAAAATTGCAATTTCCTACCTTAGTAGAATTGTTCTCAACGATGAAACTTTTATCGTGTTTTCCAGGACTGACACTTAATATTATGGGCGCAAATATCAAGCGCGTTAGAGTCTCAAAACTTTTAAATAAATATTTTGCGGTAGAGGGTCGAACATGGCGAGTTTGTTAGGTGTAACCTTTGATGCGGTTCAATGAGACACGGGCTGCCGAGAGTCAATGTAAAGTCGTTCGCGATCTTGAAGGCATCAGGCCATAGCAGACGATAAGTTAGAAGGCCTTTACTGGGGACATTCGCATCGTTTCAAGCGCTAGTACAGAGTACTTCTGGTTCAAGCCTTTGCTTTTAACGGCAGTTAGAGTTTCTGTGGCGAACTAAAACTCGGAGCGTGTCGTTCATTTGTTGAACGTGTCATTTATTTAGCAAGTGAAGCGAGCAACGCCGGCACAATCGGTGATGCTCCGGCACATTTTTACCTATTCGATCTCCAAGCACTCGATATAATAAGCGCAGCTTATCAAAAAATGCTGGCCTCCGCGAACCGCGTACAAGTTTCAATACTTCTACTTGTGTGTGTTTCTTTCAAAGACTTGCGTGTATTGCAAGGTGTGAAGCAATGGCCGCCGGTGGTACCACCGACGAGCTTCCGATCCGCTATCGAGCCTACTACAATAGAGATGAGTGGATAATTCTGATAAATATAGTGATAGCGATAATGATTGTGTTAACGGGATACTCGGAACCCTCCACGGCCTGTGTTTCCCAAGCTGATTTCTGGGCCCACGCCTTTCCTCAGAACTCGCACGCCTATCGTATTCCCATTTTTTTTTCTTTTTTCTTTTTTCTCTCAAGCGCTATAAAGTAGGAAGCATGAAGCTGTGATTGCGCTCTGACAAATGATGAAACGAAGTGTGGTGATGTAACTTTCGTCTCGGTCTTCGTTTTTTCTTTTCACCGAAGGACTCCCGGGCGCCAGTTGGAGCTCACCGAGTTCAAGGTGCAGCAACTGAGGGGAGTGTCCGTCGCCATGCACGGCTTGAAGCTCCTGAGCAGAGTGTTCAACAAGCTATCGGCCGAGCTCACCAACCTGCTCGAGGAGCAGATCAAGAACGCCGTCGAGAAGACGATCCGCAAAGCCGTGGCCGAACAGATCACGAAACTCAACGACATCACATTCTTTTAGATCGCCGCTTGTCACGCTACCCGTGTCTGGAATAACTTAAATTGTATAAATGTATAAAGGATTTGTTTTTTCTATTATCACTGGTGGCTCTCTTCAGAAACGCTGTACGTGAAAGATCATATAAGAAAACAAATGTAGAGTGTGTTTTTTGTTTCGTCGCAAAAACAAACTACGCTTCGCCGAACGCCCACAAGTCTCACACCGAAATGTGGCACCAGTGGTTCCGAAAGGCTTGCAAATTTTCAGACCTCGCCGCTATCTAATTCAAAAGTTAACAGCGACATTTGAAAATTTTCACTAGAAAAATGGAAGCGCACAGCGCTGTGTGTACTGCGCTGAGTTAGCGCAAAGGTGTATGCCTGAACCGACCGTTGAAGTATATAACGTTTTCCCTTTTCCAAGTTATATTGAAACGGAGTATATACGAACTCAACTCTGTTACGTCACGGCGCGGTGTTTTCGCGTCGGGCGCTCTTCCGGACTGGGGCAGTGGACGGAAGTCTTTACATTAGACGTGTATTCCTGTGTTGTTCTGAAAGGAACCAGACAAAAACCTGCCTTCTCGTCAAAACGCCACGACTGGGGCTGTACCAACAGAGTCAAGAAAGGTTTGAAGGTCAGTTTTCACGTGCTCGGTTCGTCCGAGAATGTGGATATGTGCCGTGAAAAGGGAAAACCAGACGCCGTCAGACCACGATTGCTTGGGCGGGAAGCACTTTGGGTTGAATTCACGGATACTTGTGGTCACCAGATTTATTTGTTTTGTTCCAACATGAACGCCGGAAAACCGTCAAGTTGTACGGACCACCTGTAGACTACGTTCAGTGCGTCTTCAAGCTCAAACGGCCGCCTGATCGTGCAAACTGTCGTTTGCTTTTTTCAAACGCTTCTGCTTGTCGTCTGCTCTCTTAGACGACAGCGGCCCGTAGACCAAATGCTGGCCCGGTACTTGCAATAAGGAGTAAATACAGGCTTCAAAAGACTTAAGTTTGAAGGTTGGTAAACAGGCTCGATGTAAACAGTAGATACAAAGAGATGTTGATCATTGTTACCAGTGACCATGCATCAACAACTTCTTATACCTGATTCACTTGGTCCAATTCTGCTCGCGATTTTCAGTATTGACGTCGACCATCTTAGCAACGGTTCACGCTTTTGCAGCCAGAGCGGCGTCGCGACTGAAAATTGCGAGCGAAATCTCATCATGCGAATCAGGCTTTAGCCTACATTCTGCGGCGTCCACGCGGAAAGAATCGTCGCATGTCACATTATTCACCCGAAGTTTGCATGTCACGAGCCCCGGTGATTTCGCTAAGGCCGCTCAAGTAGTCAGACATTGCCCAGGAAGACGCAGAATCAACAATTCGAACGCGATAAATGGCAGAGGGACTCACTCTGACGCCGACAACATCGGATTTCAATGGTATGTTTATGGGCGACGGCAAGCTTCTTTCCAACACTCCATCGCGCATACGCGGCGCCGGTGGCGTCCGCTAGGGGCGCTCCGGTTTGTTTGTAAACATGAGTTAGTGTATAGCTATACCACCTAGTAGACAAGGCTTGCGCCTTTCCCACACCAAACGTAGTCACTGGATAGATGGATGGATAGGCTGAACCCTTTGAACCGGGCGGCAGCTTGCACCACCTAGACAGCGATTTTTTTTTACTAGTTTTTATTTAACGTAGAGTCCCTTTCAAAAATGGCATATCTGGATTTAAATAAATAAGACATTACGCTATCTGAAATTGAAGTAGCGCGATGTGCTATTTTTGGTCAAAATAAGACATTAGGCTATCTGAGATTGAAGTAGCGCGATGTGCTCTTTTTGGTAAAAAAAAAATGAAAGCCGTTTACAATTCCCTGTAACACCGGATTAGAGCGCAGCTTTTGAGGAGGAGGATGGAAGGGTACAGAGGGATAGGTGACTCCTTGAGGTCACGTGACCTGAGGGGGAGGTCGTGTGGCGTCAGGGGGTCACGTGACCTCGGAAGGGGGTCACGTGACCTCAGGGGGGGTCACGTACGTGGCCTCAGCTGGGGGGGGGGGAGGGGGGGGGGGGTCACGTGACCTGAGGGGGGTCACGTGACCTCGGGGGCGGGGGTCACGTGGCCTCAGGGTTACGCCGACGGCGACGCCGCTCAAGCCGGAAACGGGCGCCTAGGAGCTGCGCTCTAAAAACAAACAAATATGGGTTTATAAAAAATTGGCCATATCTGGCCATATAAAGCATATCAGTTTATATAAGGCATATCGGCCGGATGTGCCCAATTTTTTATATATCGATTTCTGGGTCTGCCAAATACCTGCCTCCCATATAAGACCAGATATGTCGTAACCAAATAAGGCAACCATTATATATATTGTTATTTTTACAAAAATCTACCAAAAGTGACTTCTCATTTGTATAAAAAAATACCAATTGGATATTGAGCATGCGCCAACTTTTATTAATTTTTACACGAGCTGCGCTTTACGCCACTCTTGATTTCGCTCAACTTGGTTCCCAGGGAAAGCAGGATTATCGACATTCGCGTAACGAATGTCGATGAAACGTTAATGTCGACGAAGCGTGTGTCCATGAAACCTGTATTTACGATAAGGTGGCACTGGAACGTGTTATCACGAAACGCAGGGATAATAAAAAATTCAGTATTCTACCTGTAGTTGTGACATTATTTCAGACGGTCAATGGTAGGTGACTGCTGGCAGAATTTCGGGGAAATTATTCTCCCGGCTGCCACGAGATCGACACAGCCTAATCCTAGAGGTAATCTGGAAGAGTACCTGCAGGAAAGCGATCAATTGTCGCGAAGTAGGTTGCAGCACACTTACGTTGACGATTCCGGACTTGAAAGGTGTAATCCGAGATATATGTCGAAACGGGCACCGCAGATAAACTCAAACACAAGAACGAGAAGGAAGGTGTCCGTGAAGATTCAACACGATGTAGCACGAGCTTTGATTTGTAGAACCGAACACTAAACACATCACAAAAAATTCTTGGGCTTCTTTGACGAAATCGCTTGTTGCCGATATACGGGGAGGACTTTTCGTACAAGATACATTTACTACACAGGCAGAATCCACAGCAGCCACGAAGGGTGCGCCATAGCCAAACTAGAACCGCATCCTCAAGCAGGCATTTCGAGATTGCCAACGGCTAATGCGTCATCCGTCACATCGCGCGACTACGCTTCTGCCATTTCCTGCGCACAGATAGCGAAGACAAGCGAAAAAAAGTCTACGGCTGATTGGTTTGTTAAGTAAACACATTCTACCACGCTTTCAGCTTAGGGAAAGCGAGAAAAGGAGAGAAGGCAAGGCCAAAACGGAAGTGCACACATAAACGGCTTATCTTTTGGGGCATCCCAACAATGACCACAACGAGAGGATTTGTCACTTGTACCCAAGGTTGATAGTGCAGTGAATGCTATGGGCGGCCTTGGGCTCCAGGCAGGTGCCGTGATCTGCCTTATCGCCAGCTTCTAGACTGCAGTCACGTGACCCTAACCGGAGACACGATTGGCCTAAAACATGCATAGCGTCTACCCTGCTGTCCATACCGAGGGAACGGGACAGCTCTATGAAGTCCAGCTTTTGAACTTCCAAAGAAGCTGTACAGCCCGAAAGTGGCCCAAAACGATGCGAGTTTGAAGATACTATGTTTTACGCCGTATAACCCACATTATAATTTCAAATAAAAAAATAAGCGCGACCATTTCTTGCGCGCGATGTCTACAAATAAATAGATGAATAAATATAGATATATTTTACCAATAAATTTAAAATTATGTGTACACTGTTAGGTTCGCGTATTTAAATTTCAATTTTTTTTACGAAAGAGTTACACATAAAAGACACCTCGGACAGCACATCTTCCGACTTTCAACACACAATGAATCGCCGACGCTCGCAAAGGGAACGTTGCGATGTTACGCCAACGGTTTTTGAAAGATGCTGAGGGTCCTCCGAGCGCAACGGCTTCGCAGCCGTCAGAAGGGAAACGGATTCGGGACGACGAAGTAGCGTCTTGCATCTTCAGTAAGCTAACGGTTCGTGTTTCCACGCTAAATTTAGTGGGAAACACGAACAAAATTAGTTTCACTGCTAGATTTAGGGGGAAAATTGACGTCATGTGACATAGGCACCAATTCAATCTCACGCTAAATTTAGTGGGGCGGTTACACCGATGCCGACGCCGACACCGCTTAACGTGGAAACGGGCACCTAAGAGCTGCAATCTAAAATCCATTATTTGATTAACTCGCTTTCCGAGCTTATGCACTTCGTCATATTGTCACACGTCAAACATACAACCAAAATGCATTTGTCTTTCAATTTTCAAAATGCGCAACTGATTAATTGGTTCAAATATCTGTAATAACTTCACTTTAAGGATGTTAACGATGTTAACCAATTACATGAGACTCGTGCAATATAGATCACTCAACTAGTGTCTTGGCGAGTACATATTACGTTTTGCTTGCACGACCGGGACGGGCCCATATATCATTATAATGCATGCGGGATATATTTTTACCCGTATATGTCGTATATGGCAGTATTTTAACTTTTATGCAGCGATATATGGCTGTATTGGCACGCGTACATGGCGATATATGGCGTAAATACGCACTTATAAGGCCAGGCAGTATTTGCCCACTTATATGGTGATATATGGCAGTATTTGCTCCCATATATAGCGGTATATGGCCTTATTCGACTCCTTATATTATCATATATGGCCATATATAAAATATATCAGGGCCATATCTGACATTTTCGTAGGGGTTTATATATCTGAAATTTGTTCTTAAAAGCTATATACAATCTGTACGACTGATGCACCTCTATGCAACCGCATGCACACACCACACCTTCCGCTCTACGGGTCGCCCGGAATGGAATCAGAAAACACTTATCCTTCCCTCGACCCATTCAGATAATCTCCCTTTGGTTATCTTCACCTTCCCTGTGCCTATTTTCCCCTCACTATCCCCAAATCCCAGTGCGTTCGTTAAATTAGTCGCCTCTTCGGTTACAACAGAGTGAACCCCTTTACAGTAAAGTATCAAGTCCACAGCCGCCTTTTCTTCCTCTCCACCAGCTCCATGCACCGTGTCTAATTCCTGCTATATAGCTC